GGATCAAAGTTTGATGTAATGTATTTAAATTGCGGGAGAGACGCGCGACGATCTTCCGCGCGCGTGAACAATTATTCACGTCCTTCTTCCACTTGCAGCTGTTAGCCCGAGTTATACCGTGGAACCGTTCTCGCCTCATTTCACGTCGTCGCATTCTCATTGGAAATCCGTCCCACACCGTGTCCCACGGTAGAAAACAACTTCGGTTTTGTCAACGCCGAGAGAATTTGCGGTTTTGCGCGCATCTCGTAAATCTCCGAACGTAAGTAATGGCGTAAGGGGCACGAGTCACCTGTTTGCGAAGTGGCCAACTTTACAATTTTGCCGATAAAGACTCGTAAAAAAAAAATATCGTATCGATGTCGAGTCGTTCATACATTTCTCGAATTAATGAACGTTTTATCTGCGAATTTTTATCAAACTCAGTGTATCCTAACGACAAAAGTTAATTGATTCTATGACTTGTTATTAAATCTTAATCAATAATTCTGTGACTTGCTATTAACTCTAGATATTAATAACTCGAGTGTGTTACTCAGTAAAATATAAATTGTGAAAATTATTTTCAATAAATATCGCGCGACAAACAATTTAATTAACATGTTCGATAAAAAAAAAAAAAAAAAAAAAAGCGCGTGAAAAGAAAATCTGTTGCAAAACCGAATCAAATGTAAACATCAGGCATTGCGCGAGATATCGCGATAACTGCGACCACGCTAATCGCACGGTTATCATATCGATTAAGAATCCAATTCTCAAACTCACCGTGGTATGACGTTACACGGCGTAGAAAACGAGAATAGATGTTCTTTCTCGCCTCTCTCCCTCTCTCTCTCTCGTTCTTGAATTACTCCCCGTTTCACTACGATCTATTTAAAATTTCTTACGGTCGCTCGCGAAAAATATCTATCGCGCACTTCCTGATTTCGTTTTTCTTTCGGAAAAGAGGGCAATCGTTCTAATGTGTCGCGCGAGAATGAAGTTCCGCGGAGTTACGAGCGGGCCGTGCGCTTCCAAAAATACTCTCAACCAGTTCAAAAGCCGAACTACCGCTACTGTTCGGCTTTACGCATTTTCCGCGCTTACGCATCTGTCGTTCTACTATAGCGGCCAAATCAATCTCACCTCGGAATTTAATTAACGTTACTCGAGTCGAACTCACCAATGATTTCGTTTCGAGCGAGATATATGTATACGATAAAAATAAAAAGTTAACGAACAAGCTAATTATTATAAAGAAATGAGTTTTTTTTTAACAAATCATTTGGACTAAAATATAACTATTAAATATTAACATTTTGAATAAAAATTATAATTATAAGACGGAAAATACAAGTCAGTAGATGGTAGAATAGAAAATGCGTGTTGCGTTCCCGCTTTTTCGTAGCGTGTAATTAAATTTAAATTCAATTTAATTCGGAGCGATCCGCTAATCAACGCGATTACCGGATATTCCGCACGTACAACCGCGCGTCCATAAAATTCCACAAAGATCTACTTTCTCTTTATACGGACAATTCCACGTGAACTCGCTTGACCTCGAACGACCGACTTCAACATCCACGAATGTCGTTCAACGGAGCATCCACGCAAAATGCGTTCCCGAGTGTCGTTGACCAAATTTAGCAAAAAGTAATATGCGAAACCGGAGCTCTCGGAGCGTGGCAAAATCAGAGCACGTATGAGAGATCGATATAGCAAGTATTCGAGTCACAGTATACATGCTTAAAGTACGCGGGACACGTTGTTGATCACAACTCGCAGGACTACTTATTTCTTAATCTTATCGTAAAGATAACAGTATATATTACTGCTATTTTACGTCTGCTCATTTTCAGTTAATACATACATATGTTTAAAAAAAAAAAAAAAAACGTTCAATAATTTTGAAGAGATAAAATGCAATAAAATAAATAACACGGCTTTTTTTATTTAAGCATAAATTTAAATCGAGAAATAAGACTTTATAGCGCACGTACGTGCAAAATATATAAATTTTTTAACGTGTAAATCACCTCTTCCGAGAGAAGAAGAGGTGATTTATCCCGCAGACATAAGTCTCCCAGACCTGCTCAAAAAGTGCGCATCGACGGTTCGAGACAAAATTTAGCTTTTTTTTTAACGCTTACATCTTCGAAACTACTATAAATTGTTTTTTTTTGTTTTTCTCATCGACGCGGAATCGTCCAATCCTTTTTAATTAAAAAAAAACTAAGTTGATAAAATACTGATTTTTCAATATTTTCATACGCGGAGATATTCGATTTTAAAGTAGCGTGGGTCTGTAAGACTCCAGTCTGTCTTACTCGTAGGTTGCAGGTAAAGGGTTAATACGCGTAGAAAATTCGAATTGTGAACAACAATCCTAAGATTCAAAAGAAGCTACTTTGCATCACACACACGTATAAAATTATTCATTTAACTTCCTAATGAAATTAAAAAAAAAAATCTCCACGCATCTCGACTTGAAGAGTTGAACCCGGACCTCCCGCATACCGTGCAAAAACAATATGCAATAAATTCTAAAACACTTCGTAATATATAAATTTTCCTTTCATCTTTTACGCTACCAATACGCAATAAACGTTCTCATCCAAAAGACAAGCGCGATAATAGTCAGAGATTGCATTTGCAAGATTAGACTGGCAGCATCCACCGTAATTGCTTCATTGTTTCATTGTGCTCTTTGTTGCAACAATAACGGGACAAATATCACAAAACGAATCTCTCCCATTCCGCGCTACATAAAGAATTGCGGATGGTCGAAATTAGTTCAAGGTGCGCGTGTTATCACGGATGTGGAGTCTCTAAACGAGAAACAGATTAGCGAGCGAGTCGTGTTTCAGTTAGCAACAATGCGCGCGTTTGGTATTGAGATGAAATGCAACAAGTTGAGAGCGGGCAGGAAACGTTGGCGTCTCTCTCCAGATCGGAATTCGGAACTGCGACTTTCACGTTCCGAACTCCATTATCTCTCGTGCCGAAATTGCATATCGCGCGCGATTTTCATTCAAAAAAAAAAAAAAAAAAAAAACGAACATGTTATTAAATTAAAATCGTCGACGCTTAATCTGACCATTAAAGCGATTCGTTTTCAGAGATTACACATTTTATATTCGCAATTCTAGATACCTATTTTAACGAGTTTCAAAATTGTCACGACACATTTGAGCGGACAGAAAAACATAATAAAAATGTTCGATCGAAATATGTGAGCTTACCAAAATGCATTATCCACCACGTCAACGAAGAACGGCGCACGTCAGCGTGAAAACGGGATGTATCGGTAGGCGGATGCGATCGAGATAGCACGCGTATCACACAAGCAGAGGAACCACGAAGAGAGACCAAGCGAGTCGACGAGCATCCCGTCTTGTAGTCGCGACAACTACACTCGCAAGGCGTCGGTTAACGCATCATCTTACTTTTTTCACACAGCCCGGCACAGACGCGCATTTCTTCTCTTTCTCAAACGTTTCGCCTCCGCTTCTTCGCGGCGGTTTCGTCGCACTCGTACTCGTCACGACGCATGAATGAGTACTTCGCCACGCTGTGCCGCGCGCGGGGTCACGAGAGGGTTCGTTCGTTCGTTCGTTCGCAGCCGTTGGCGGCAACGGCGGCGGCGGCGGCGGTGAAACCACGTCGAATGGACCGCGCGAAGAGTTCGAGCTCCGAGCGCTGCCGCGGTATGTCTCAGTTAGACGAGGACGGACGGACGGAAAAACGAGTAGGAGGCGAAGAAAGAAGGGAGAGAACCCGAGCGGCAGCGGCGGCCGGTTAAACCCGAAGGAAGAAACGGCCGTAGGAAAGACGAGACTCGTTCGGCTGACCTGTGGTACCCAACAACAAGTACGTGTAGCGTGTATAAATCCTCTTGAGAAGAGAAGAACCTCCCGCTGTGTGTCGAAAACGAGCAAGATGATTGTTAATGCTGGTCTTGGTGAGAGTCAGAATGTAAGGAACACACAAACGTTGAGAGGGATGCCGCAATCACACCACAATCGAAATACAAAAGACGCGCACCATTCGTATTTAAATATAACAATGGTCTAGGAATAAAAATGAGGCGAACGTAAAGAGAAAAAAAAACTAGAGAAAACGACGGGAAGATAAATGTGACGAGAGCATGAAAGAAGAAAGAAGGGAAGGCCACTTTGGATCAACGTGTTCGTTGTAAAGTGCGCGTCCACCGGCGGCGACCGTGGAACGGCGAACTCTGTCGGCTCGTGCAGCCGGCAGGCAGCTGCTGGTCTCTCCAGCGCGCAACGAAGCGCATCGTTTGTGTCCGAACGGGTCTTCGGCAAAGATCGGAGCCCGGAACAAAACAACAAACGCGCCGGCTGTTCGTTCCCCACCCCAAGTTGCCGTATGTCGTCATATACATCCGTTGTTCGACCATAGCGTTGGCCGGTACGAACGAAAATTCAGCCCGATACGCACGTGCTCGACCAACGCGTGCAGCTTTATTCTTAGCACGTATTCCGCCGAATCCTGTCTCTTAGTATTCTCACTTTGGTGTTAATAATTGAACCATCTAACGCACGAAATGCTTCCGCTATCGAAGCGAATTTATTAACATATTTACTCTTTGTTCTTGCTGCGTCTATCTTATACAAGTCACTTGTTAAAAGTAGAAAGCAAGACTTTAAAATCAAGTTTACGTACAACAAGTATAAAATTATGTTTCAAATGTTTTGTTTTTGCAAGTTATTATTTTTACGCTACAAGTATGAAAGTTTGTTATTCAATTGTAAGGTCAAGTTTTTAGTCATTTATATCGAAGTAACATACCCGTGGCTCTGCTGTTTTCGTACATACAAAACAAACTTCCTTACTAAGCATAACAAATAATGAAGAAACATCTGGCATGTCGTTGGTGACATATACCATATGACGAAATGTTCAACTGAACGGAAACCGTAAAATTATACATTGCGCTAGTGGGACAATAACGATAACATTATTGTCTAAATAAAATGAAAGAAACCACCGTCACTTACCATATGCTTTACTGCTTTTTCCTCTAGTTCCGACAGTGTCCAGTTGACATGGAAGCTCAGTGGTTGAAGACGTGACTCCATCTCTCGTAACCATTTTCTTAGACATTTTACTTCACGTTCAAAATCTGATAGAACAAATTAAATTAATTATATGTACCATTTAATAACAATCAAAACGCAAAATGATAAATGTGTATTATTATAGACTATTATAAGTATTTAGGAAGCAATATAATCTTTTACCCGCTGATATATCTTGTTGACTAGATACGGGTCGGTCTATCGGCGCCATAATTTGTTCAACCAATTCCCATTTTGCGTTCAAGTGATCTACACGCCAAGCCACTTCATCTTTTAAAGCAGGGGCGCGAGAAATTAATTTTTCCGCTTGTTCATTAAACAATTTACGTCTGTATGCCTTGCGTCGCAACTCTTCCATGTGAGTCTAATAAATAGACAAATTTATTTAAATTTTTTTACGATTACTTAGATAAATTCCAATATATATTTTAGATCACACAAAAGTATACATACTGCACGCAGACTTTTATCTAACAAATTTTCCTCCTTAGAATAGACCAATTCCTGAAGAATTCTTAACCATGAGTAAAGTTCTGAAAATTGGGCACTGATTTCCTTTAAATTCCAAGATTGTGTTGACACATCTGTTTCATCCCATGTTAGTTCGCCATTTGCTTCCTGAAATAAATAACAAATATAACCTCTTGTTCTTGTTATTATCTAATATTTATATTTTAATGTATAATATTTAAGATGTACATATACATAACATATGTTATGTATATAAATTTAAGACAATTTACCTTGCAAGTTTCAATTAAATTAGTGTCCATAATATAATCATAATTAGATCTGATAGCTGCCCAAAACTCATCTTTGCAGTCTTCATAATTTATCCACATTCTTTGAATATTTGGTTGCTTTGGATCTTTCCTATAAAAAATATACAATATTATTAAACTAGTTATTATAATTCACAATTACATATATATATATACATGTATATATAGTTTTACTATAAAACAATTAATGCTGATGCATAATTGCTAAATAACTATTATGATGAGTAACATTAGTGTGACTAATATTACTAAGAACAAACCTTTTTTTTGTAAGACTGTTGTACAGTCTTTCAATTGCTGGTTTGACATTTTTTTGCCTTTCTAAACTGTGACTATTTGGCTGAAGTGACGTTAAAGAGACGCTCATCTTTTTTGCCTTATAACCTGCATTACAAAAAATATTAAATATGTAATAAATATGTATACATTTACTAATACAATATCTATTTAAATTTATTATATAATATTTATATTGTGATATAATAAAAAAAAATATCAATAAAATATTGATACAAGTATCAAAAATAAAATATGTACTTTTATCATATATTTTTGATCAGAAACTATTTTAGTAATATCTTACTGAATCTCTATTTAAAGCCATAACCAAAATTGTGCGTGATCAAGACACGGGAAAGGAGAAAGGAATTTTGTCAAAATATATAATTTATTCCTTCGAACCTAACCCTACTTTATAAATAATTCTGCATTCTTAGCTATCAATCTTCTATGTACTTAGCGTCTGGTGAAAATAGCAACGAGGCGAGAGTCTCCGCGGGAATGTGCTAATTTTAGAAAAAAAAATTGCAGCAACTCCACTTTGTTATATCTCTTATCTGCTGCGACAAATACACACAAAAAAAAAAAAAAATCGCGAATAAATTAATATCCTTCGCTCTTATCAACGGCGGCGGTAAATAGAAGGATCGCTCACCCGTTTTGTCGTCGACCGTCATTGGACCCCCTATTAGATTTTGTATTCAGTTCTAGATGTGCATTACGCACGTTTTCGCCGATGAAACCGGAGACCAGGAGAGAGCTCAACAGCGGACCTCGCGTGATTTGGTGGGGTCGTGGACAAACATCCGAGCTACGAGCGTGAGAGAAGACACACCTGCTCCGTCGTCTTGCGAGGAATGTCACCGGACAATTAAAAATTTCATCGCTCACGGCTTTACGGTCACTGCTCGCGTTCTCCGCCCACGAAGGCGCCAACGACGGTGCAACCGATGCGGTGCCGCATGTGCGCGATATCAATCATCCGCCGACGACGCTCTACGAACGGGCATAACCTTGCCGTTCCGGAGGTGGCGATGTAACGACGTAGGGCGAATTTGTCGTGGTTCTTTCTTTTTGCGTTAAAGAACCGCCGCATACCATAGTGCACAGTCCGGCCTGCTCCGGCGCTGCGCGTGCGTTCTCGCTGCTGTTCGCCTGCACCTTGATACGTCCTTAGCGCGCGACAATTCGATGATCGGTTATGTCAGCTTTCCTCCGATTTATTATCTTTTTGATCCACTTCGTCAGACATGAAAGTCTAACTACGTGCGACCACGAATTCTCGATTATTCGTCGTTGGCGAGATTGGACTCGTCACGAATGTTGTCCTTGTGCTTCTTTGATAAGCATTTTTCGAGAATGAACGATTTCCTAAAAAGGGAATTGTGCAGGTGTAGTGAGAGGAATATTGTGGTGCACAGCACAGGTGCAGCGCCGACTACCAGAAGTGCAGCAGCTAGATCGATAGTAGTTGTAATCGTCATATGGTAAAGCAGCGACAGGTTTGACACTCTAACCTATGATGTGATATTTGGCTACGTGGATTTTCCAAGGGAAGAATTTAAATTTGTCAAAAATGACAACAACAAATTATCTGGATTTAGATATAAATAAATTATTCGAGCAACATACCATTAAGGAGATCGAAGAGATTCAAAAAAAAATTCAATTGGAGAGTGACAGGAAAAAAATAGAATTGAGAACACTAGTTGGGTAAGAGAGATCTACTTGTGTAGTTTTAGTTTATAATTTGTGTTAAATCAATAGCTAAATTGTTTTTCATCAAAATTTGTAACAATTTTATCTTTTTGTCATTCCTCTTTCAGTTTAAAATTGATGAAACAATTATACATTGTTTGAAGCTATAAAGATCTTGTTATAAATCTTGAAAACTTATCGACAAAAACTTGTTTGAATAATTTTCAGAGAAAGATACCGGGATTTGATATTAGCAGCTGACACGATTGGAAAAATGAAGATAACGTCTGAGCAAGTTGTTACAAGAATTGCCAAAATAGAAGATAAATTTAGAGAATTGCAGAAGAAATATCTTATTGGTTTTAAGACAGAGCCAATTGAAAATAAATTGGACAGGTAGTCTTTGCCAAGATGTTGCTGCATCTGTGCACATTGTTTGGCTGCAAATATAAGATGAAAATATTTACGTTACAATGTCAGAATCTGCATTATAAATTTTTTTTGTAGGAGACAGCATGTTCTGGATTCTATTGTCATCCAAATCAAAATTTTAATGGACATTCCTCAATACATTTGGACAAGCATTGAGAATCAGAATTTGTTATTTGCTACGCAATTGTATATAATAGCGCAACACATAAATTATAGTTTAATATTTGAAGTAGGCAGCACAGAGCTGTCACGAAAGTATCCAATTGTCTCAAAACAGTGGGATGTAATTTCTCAGTTTAAGAGTATTATATCCAATGAGTGCAACAGGATACTACAGTCATTAGATGTTTCAATTACAGTTAGTATGCAAATTTGCAAATTTATCTGTGTGATGGCACATCATGAAATGTTAATGATCTAATTTGTCTTGCAGAATGCTGCCAATTGCTTAGCATCTCTTGTATTCTTAAATGAATCGTCATTTGAGGATCTCTTAGACAAATTGATATCAACCAGGAGTTACGCTATTGAGTCTATTATTAAAGAGGAAAGTCATGATAGTGTCAAAATTAAGTTAAAATTATGTATAACATTACTTATACAAACTGTATACTTAATATATTCATGCTTTATATGTAAGTATATTGGTTTTTATACAATTATATTATACGAAGTAAAATTTTATATCAAATATTTTCATTTGTGATTACAGATGCGGATAATGCAACAAATGGTCTAGTCTTACAGTTTATAACCGACATAAAGGATCAAGAAGCATATTGCTTGCTGTTGCAACTTGATACAAATCGAGATTTACTTGATGAATTTTTGCCGCCTGTTACCAAAAAGCATAAACCGTTTGTTCAAGATGTACCAAACACCTTTCCGTTATCAGTTCTCCAAGACAAAGTTAAATCTTGGTTGGAATGGGTCAGTGATTTTTCTAATCGCGAAGTCGCGAAATTGTTGGATTTAATCATCTCTATCAAAGGCCTGTACAACGTTCGAGAAGAAGCTATAAGAGTGAATCTACCTGAAAATTGGAATTCCATATGGGAGGAGCTATCTTTACCGAGAATAAGCTTTTGGACGGAATTCTTTCAGCCTATTATAACGAAACGAGCAAAATGTAAATATTATATTTGTGAACAAAGAAAGTTTTTTATTCGACATAACTATAAGACCAATCTCTTTCGACAGGTATTATAACGGATAAATGGACGGATGCATTAGGCGATTTGAAGTCTAATATAATAGACTTGCTTGACAAAGTAGCGCATGATAAATTCGAATTTCCGGAACACGATTTGCGATGGTTCGTGTGGAAAGATTCTCCCACCGATATCCCACAGAAGCTCACGAAGAACGGCGGACTGGATAATAAGAGATCTCTGCTAATGAAAGCTAAAGGATATTCGCCGAACATAATCAAATTGTGCGAAAAATTCGACGAAAGTTTGTACACATTATTGTCCGATCTCGAGTATTATTTGTACGAGACCGAGCGAGTAATATCGGTTAAGGACGACTTAATTTCGGCGAATATATCTCTGATCGCGAATTCGTTCTCCGATCGCAATGAAGTTCAAGAACATCTGCAAGTAATTAGCACCGAGAGACTCGAAGATCTTGTTCAATTCATAAAGAGCGCGTGTGTTAACGAGAAACCCGAACACGGCCAACGCGATATAAACGCCATAGTACTGGCTAGATTTCTCTTCGCGCTAATCACTTTGTGCTCGAATTTGAATAAATGTTTCACATTGTCGAAAGTGTCCGGAATCATCATTACGAATGCCAAGTGGCAGGCTGTTTGTGATAATCTCAGAGAAGAAAGTGTTTGCTTGTGGTCCGTTTGGGCCGATGTATATAAGACTAAAATATCCGAACACATGAAGAAGTACATATTGAGAGAGCCGATCGATGGATTGCGCATTCATTGGATTGTCTCGGAGTGGGAAAAGGTTACAATCGATGAAGAATCGGGAGACGGAAAGCGAATAAAATCTGAAATTTTGGTGCCGTATCAATTGTCGATACCTTTACAGAAATTTTTAACAGCTATCTGCAAGGATTTGAACAAAATTATACCTCATACGCTTCCAAAGTGAGTGAACCACATTGCGATATATTATCAGGTTTTGAGACAGACTTGATAGACGGTACAACAATTTATATCTTGTTTTGCAGGAGAGTGCTGCAGCAAATTATCGAAAACATTATCACGGAACTGTTCAATTATTATCTCAACGTGTGCAAAACCTTAGATATCAGGCAGAAGCAGGCGTTTCAAGTGCTGTACGATGTTAAATATTGCACGTTGCTCATGGTGCCTCGCGAAAACAAGATTCTCAACGACCTGTCAGCCAAAACGTGCGATGCTATACTCGCGAAGATAGATCCGTTCGATTACGACGTTTTTAATCCGTTCATTCATACGAACGTCAAAAAATCCGTTCAGAGATCTTTGGTTGGTATTATATTATACAACAGAATTGCGAATGCGATATAAAATTAATTAAGTAATGAGATCGACACAAAACTTATCTCCGTCTTATTTTAGCTAATATGTAGATGATACGTGTGAAAACTTTTTAATCTAATCTTTTAGTTGATATTTGGAAACTTAATACCTCACTTGGAACAATTGCACTCGATTTTGGGAGCGCGCAATGAACACGCGAGCAACGATAGTGCGAAAATCGAGCCTCCGGCTGTGCTCGCGGTCTGCACAGGTGCACCTTGGTTCCCACCCTTAACTGTGACCGCTCCTACGAGAACTTTACCGATTTTGTCAGTGCCAATACCAGACAAAACACAGGTATGCAGAAAAAATTCTTTTATTTCGATATTTATATAACTTTTAATATTTATTACGGTATTGAGAATTAAAAAAAAAAAAACAGCGTAAATTTATTCATTTTTTAAATATATCACTTGCTCTCAGATTGTGTCCTTTGTGAAAATGAGATAAAGATATGACGAAAACTTAAAAAATCTTTGGTAAGCGATTTTGCACGTGACTTTGAATTAACGCGACTAATCGATTTTGTATCAATGTGTAATTGTGGCTGTGTAATTGTGCATTTGCTGCTGATCGTAACACTATTTTTTAAAAAGTGAACGAATACTTTAATAAAAAAAAATTAATATATAAAATGACGTATCAAAATTAATATCGCAGAAAATAGGACAACTACATGACTGCCAGATAGATTCTCGGTGAAATTTGTTATATTAAAAAAAATTATATTAGAAAATCTTTAAAATAAAACGCATATGTGATATACTAACATGTTTGAGTGTAAAAATACGATACATAATCATTTCTCTTTCATTTCCTTTTTATGAAAATTTATATATCTTTTATGAAAATATATATGAAAATATATATAATTTTGTTTTATAGCGCAAGAAAGTGACAACGAAAGAGAATACGAAAACTGATTCTACTAGTGCAACAATAAAATCCGGAGCAGCCGCGTTTTTCGGCGCGATGGGATCGGATTGGTTCGGCAGTGGCAGTTAACTAATTTTTGTTAATTATTCTCACATTGTTGTGAACGATGATTGTAAATATCATTATACATATATATATTATACATTGTGTAAATAATATGTCAATAGAAAATTATCTTTTTACCACATGTATATATTATGTTGTTTTATACCAATTAAATATATTAAGTCAGAATAAATTTATAAAATGCGCATGCAATCATCCCACTACAAGCGCGATACAAAAATCGGTAAATTTTTTTCTTTTTCGAAAAGCAGATTTTTTAAAATAAAATTTTGTCCGTATTTTTTGACGTCGTTCACAACATCGCGCGTTCACTAATGCGTGCAAATCCAAAAAACTATTTAAAAAAGAACGAATTACATCATCCTAGTTACCGATAAACGCGAAGCAGTACAAAGTACTGTTCAATATCTTACGTAAATATTTAAACCGATGCACTGCACGGTCTTCTCCCTCTAAGTTTCGGTTAAAATCTATAGAGTGTGTACTTACTTGTGTGACCGAAAGTTCGTCTTCCGCAGCGAGTCTACGCAAATCGGGAAAATCGGATCGCGCGTGTGTGCGACCGATCGAAAAAATGTCGAAATTTTATTACGAACGTCGTTATTTTCGAGCAATCAAGTTTCTTCGTAAAATCTTCATTAAGTTTTACTCAGACGCGGTCGTTGAAATTGTTGAATGCACATCGGACAGTGCGCAATTCCGGACGTGCACACGCGCAACATCGGAATCTTGCTTGTTGAAATAATTCAAATCGAATTCGAATTTTCTGATTGGCCGTTCGCCGCGCATCCACGACAACTTCGCGACGGATCATCGCGATTTTATCGCACCCCGTGCAGTAGCGTCACCCGCGAACACAACGGAAACTCTGTATATAATCCGATCTTGTACCGATCGATAAGTCTTCTGCGGTAGTAGCGCGCGGCGAGAAGCGACGACGGGAGACACGAGTTGTAAGATAAGCGAGCAAGGGTGGAGAGAGAAAGAGCGAAAGAGAAGGGGAGTAAGTACGGCCGTGAATGTGAAAAGAACAGGCTGTGTTACGCAATCGCGCGCGATATACCCGGTGGAGGCAGCGGCAAAACCACGCCAGCGCGCAACTCTAGTATACGTTTTGATATACGGCAAGATGGCCGGATGGGCCCTACTGTGGTGATATCGGTCGTAAGACGGTCCCATTCGCATCTGAAAAAGAAGCAACGATACGAGTCCGTTCAGCTGCAGGAGTACCGGGGTATCCGACAGAATCGTCCTGCCCGTCAAATGGTGAGTGTCGACCTGTGACAGATGATTTTCTTTTCGATTTTCGCACCGGCAAAACAACGCGCGCGTTACGTGTGCCGGCGCCGCGTCTTCTTGTGCCCGCCTTCGCGCGCTGATTTTGAAAGATCGCGACCGGTTTCCGGATCGCTTACGTTCCACATCGCGCGTTGAAAAAACATCCCGATGACGCGCGATGACATTTGAATCGTTTATTTTTTCTCGTTTTGTTTTTTGTGCGTGCGACAACTGTTTCACGCGATTCTTTGCGCGCGACATGCGCAATTCGTGTGAAATTTATATTTCGCTCGCATGCACGTACAAACGAATTCCGTGATGCGTGCGTTAAAAACGACCTCCGCGAACGATTTTACGGTTTCGATTATTACGGCGAAGATGCGCGGACATCGGCGCCTAAGTTTTTTTTTTCCAATCGCGCGGATAGAATTTAAGCAAGCATCTCTTTCGCGCTTTTTTTCGTTCGATTAGTTTAAAAAAAACAAAACAAAAAACAAAAAACAAATCGTTAACGAAGAGATCGCGAAACCGAGAGAGTGATCGACTAATATTCCTAATGGAAATTTTGTGAAGGAGAGAGAGTTATCTCGATTATTGCAACGTTGCGTAAAAACCCTAATCTACGTTGAGACACAGCGGAGAAAACCCTTGCGCGATCTCTCTTTATCTTTTAATATCGCGACACACAACGTCCTACTCTGTCAGCAAGTCCATCCACAGATACTTACCTTCAGTGTTTTTTCCGAGTGCATAGGAGTGATAAAGTTCACGATATACTATCACGACGATTAAACAGTACGTCATTGTTATCGATAGGAATACACATTATCTCTCCGATCAACACGACAACGTGTGTTTTAGTCATCTTGCCTCTTTGTGAAGCACGGATGGAAGATATACTCTTGTTTCTGGTCGTGATTATCGGGAGAGAAAATTTATCGCGGCAATGTGCATTGCTCCGATAATCTCCGTAGAGAAATTTGGTTTATCTAATCTACACCGAGGAGAAGCTAACTAACTCTCTCTGGCGTTAAGTATAAAATCTTGTTGATCCGCAAACAAAAAAAAAAAAAAAAACGATTACAGCACGAAAGCTCCCACAGACTTTGCTTCGAAAAATGCGACGCGTTATTATTATTATTATTTCTGCGAATAATTCGTAAAACCAATTCGTAACTCGTAGCGTTCGAGAAAATGCAGAATGTAAAAGGAAAAATCGAGTTGTGTGTGTGTGTGTGTGTGTGTGATTTGTAGTTATAAAGAACGTATGTGAATTATACAGATGTGTGGTAGAGAAGCTTATTAGTTTATACACAAAAAGCGAAAATACGAGTCAAGGGTATAACGTTGATGTTTATTACATTTCAGAATAAATCGTTACTCGCGGTATCGAACACAGTTTTGATCCTTTCTTTTGTCGAGTCTTTTCTCCGGTGAGTGGAAATAATAATAATAAATTGAAATATATATGAAAGAATTGTGTAATGCGGATATAAGAGATAAACAACAAAGAGACTAAAACCAAGTCGTTACTAATCGAACTGAACGTTTGCACAATTGAGTAACGAAATATTTTGAACTACATGCGTATTACAAATGTCAACAACGCTCCTGGTTTATTGGCCTTATACTTTCTCTCTCTCTCTCTTATTTAAAATACAAGCAATTAGAAATGATAAGAGTTAGTTTTAATTTAGGTCAATGTTATCTCACCTTTTGCCAAGAGCGTCGGAATAATCGGTAAATGTTATCCTATTCGACCAAACTGCCACAGTGAGTAACGTAACGTAACCGCAGTCTCGACACCTATAGACTCGATCAGAATCAACTCTTTCGTTATCCTATCCTATCGGCCCGCGTGCTTTTTTCCGTGCGATCCTCGGATTAAGCTCCGCGACTGCGGACACGATCGAGTTTCGTTTCACGATACGACCTACATTGGATCGGATTTGTGGTTTATATTTCCACGCAGAAGATACGCACGTCCTCGATCGAAGTAATAATTCTCTTTAAAAAAAAAAACAAATGCGACTGCATCGCGCAAATGTTCCTCGATCATTATGCGCGCGTAAAGCATGATTTGCGTTAGTAAAAACTTTGTTTGGATCGTTTGACAACGTTGGAACTTAAAATGACGATGATTGACAAAAATTTACTTACTAATTGGAAAATTGCAGAAACGTTACGTGTTATTTTTTATATAAAAAATTCAATATTTTTTACCTCCAAATAGTGCGCGTTGCAGCACTTCGTCAATTTTTAAAACGTTCGGAGAAGCTGGGTGAGACAAATAAACCCCGCTTCTCGTGTATTGGTCGAACGTGACCGCATCCCTGCGACATGCGGGGGTTGGTCGTAAAACTGTGTATGTAAAATGCAAGATAAGCTCCACACGCTGCTCCCCCTCTAGAGCATCTTCGATGAAGTCTTCGGCATCGATCTCTGCGCTCGGTTCTCTCAGAAAATACGGATGTAGGAATAACTGAATTATACTTTTGTCGATATCCGCGTATGAAAAACTTGTTTGCTACTGATAATCCAGAAATATATTTTTGTGATCTATCTTCGAATAAAATATAAAACGTGGTAATCGGTCTTTAAAGTGAATCGTATTGGCATATCTGTTGATAAAATAAGTGACAAATATATTGTCGACACAGTTGTTTATTCGTTATATTGTTTGCGTATTGTCGCGTAGCGTGTCATTGTTTTGTGACCTCGTGATTCGCGCGTAATCTTGGTATCTTTATTACAAAAAGTTGCTTATCATTTTTTAATAAAAGAGAAAAGATCGCAATTCTGATATAATTTCTACGTATGATAGCTAGCCCTTAGGTTTATTTATTCGGTTAGACGTATGTGCACTATTTGACGTTGTTGTTTTTCACGCAGCTGAATAATCTGCCAAGAAACTCTGCCAAGTAATTTTCTTTAAAACAAACGGAATTTTGTTCTTATACATGTCACATGTGATGACAAAAAACTGAAGTTAATAAATTAATTTGAAATTAATTTAAATTAAGTAATTAATTTTTTCAATTTTTAATTTTCACTCAAGTGAACTGCAATAATTTCAGATATTTTTTTTAGTAAAATCTGTGTAATTCTACGCAATAACTTTTTGTTTCGTTTACTTCTCTGGTTAGTTTGACTTATTTTTATTGCTGCACCATCGTTCGTGAACTGACAAATGTGTGCCGTTCCTTGGAAAAACAAAACGCTTGTAATCACCGTTGATAATCTACAGCAAACATTTGTGCCAACTCATGCATTTGTTCCCGAAAAAGTAAATGTAACATATGTAATTGAATACTTTTCACAATTTCTCTTTCTTTTATTGAAGCAAAAAGTTGTTTATAAAATTGATTATTTTTAATAAGCAACGGTGATTAATGGCTTTCTGATTACGATTTTTCTGGGGATGTGATTCTTATTTTAGATCGTATCTTTACGTGATTACATTAATCTTTTACTTCAAATCATACTTTGCTGTGTATTATCGAATATTTTCCTCAAAAACGACGTTTTATCAAGCAATTACTCGAGTCGAACGTATGTACGGCGACGATCTTTATCTTGTAGCTTGTCTCGTTATACGCGCGCGTCAAACAACGAGAAAAGGTCACGATGATAGTGTCAAAATTAACATGTTGAAACCAAAACTTCTGCACCAGATAAATCTGGACTGTAACCAGAGAGAGAGATATAGTATATCAGAATAATATAGCGTGAAGTTTCGAATCTACGTATTATATTTTTAAATCTTATAAAAATATAAATTATCTGCGCACCACGTATATAAATCATCGCACAAATCCACGTGTTACAACATAAAATTCTTAACTTTTTTTATGTACCTCTTATTTTTATATACTTATATTTAAATCGTATGCAAATTATATTACGCTCATGAATATTTATCGGCTTTGCATTTTAAGAAAATAAATTTTAAACAATGCAGACCTTAATAAAGTTTCGGTATAAAATTTCACACAAGTAGATGTGAGCTGTACCAGTAATGATATTACAATGCAAAATATTGTATGTTACACATCATGTTTGCATCACGTGAATGTGGTTTGCCTTTTCGGCTAATTTTGCGGCGTCTATATTCACTCGCCAGTAATAAAAGCAGTGATAAAAAAAGTAAGTGAATTTCATCACGTACTGATTCAATTCTTTAAAATCGTGTCGCCCCCGTCGCGTTTTCTACGAATATTTTGTCTCGAATGAGCGCTTGTTTCGCACAATCGAGTTTCTTTCACAAATTATATTTACTTCGTTCCTTAAATTGTTAATTAAATGAATTAAATCGATAGATATATAAATAAATTTTTTCTATTTTTATCGTATCGAGAAGGTAAAATTAAATCGCGCGATAATTGCGATTGACAATTAGAACATATATCTGTTTGTTAGGCGTCAGTCCGAAGGATTTATGAAATATATTGTATAACGTTTATCTCGTTTTTACACATCCGCGGTTATCACCTTACTGTCATTTGTAACTGTCCAAACACGAACGGAGATGATTATTGCCTCTAATTCCGGCTGACGTAACGTAACGCACGACTTTCCAGTTATTATTGAACATATATCGCTTGACATCGTTTAGCTACGTCTTTCCGGAGCATGTGTTCCATGTTTGTTTATTGCGTTCGTATCGAACTGGTTCATCTCAACTGGTTCGTGCATACTTAAATTAAAGTGATAATCACATCTGAATCGATCGTAAATCAATTTTGATGCAATATTTATATAAAATATTTATTACATCGCATTAAAATGCGACATAAACATCGTCGAGTTGCGTGTCCACATCCGCAACGTCGCCTTTTACACCTTGTGGTGAATGTATCACATTTCTCTTTCTAAAACACAAACGTCACGTGAAAAGGATTTTGCCGAAGGACGACGTATCTCGTACTCACGTAATCGTGTCACAAGATCGATGTAACTCGATTACAAGAGTTCAAATAAAATACCGATGATAAAACCGCGGGAAACACGTATCCCGGATCCGTTGGATGTAAACAGGTTCAACTACATTGACGTATTATTCTTACCGCACAATCGCCCCCTTCTTGCGCCTTTCTTCTGCTTCTCTTTCGAGCGAGAAGTTACGGCGAAAACACAATCCCACTGACGCAATTTCGACGTTCTCGGTATAATGGCGAAACTCGGTTTAATTTACGATAAACTAGCCGGCGCCAGTGATAACGCTAGTGATAACGATAATATTTTCACTCTTTTCTCATTTATATACATATTAAATCCTTTCATTGATGTAATCTCTCATCTTAAGGTTTCGTTAACTTCACGGCAATTCGCATAACATAGAGATCCAACATCTTTATCTTATTTTTTCTCTCCTCGCAACAGCGATAAATTAGATAGATATTCTTTATTAAACATCTATATAGAAAATAAAATGTTCCTGTAATCTGTAAAAAAATACGACGATTTTCCGGGAAGATACGCGCATGAGATGAAATACGCAGTATTAATGTCGCAGTAATAATGTAAATACAACTTTTTCATTACACACGCCGGAAGTGTGAGGTTTGCTTGTAAACTGAATAAATTTAAAACGCAATACGCGCGGTTCGTGGATGATGAAAAAACAAAAGCTTATTGAGGTCTACTTGGGTTTTTCGGTTTTTCGAAAGGTCGGTGACTCTTGACGAGGCCATGGTCCAGCCGCGTGCACAGCTCCCATTCGTCATCTCGGTAAACGCCTCTTCCGACGCCTTCTTCCTCGTTGCTCCTCGTTGCTTCGTGACGCTTCGCACGCATGTCTCGAAAACCTCGATCGTGCCTTCGAGGCGCCTAGTATTTTTTATACTCGCTCGCTCTCCGATAACATGGTAGACGATAACGTTCCGTGCTAATCCGAACCAATAAATGCTGGGACTTTGCTCTCGTGCGGCACACACTGTTCGTTACTATCGTACCCTTACGGCCAGTTCACGAAATTCTCTCCTCCGATTCTCAACGCGATCGTCTCGAAAATTCGAGAAAATATCGAACGCTTGACGCACGAAAACAAAAAAAAAAAAAAACCTAAATACACAACATCGAGGAAAGATCACAGTGTTATCTCTCAGAGCATGAATCAATATATTATACGTGTGCCGGGACAGTATATAATAAAGAACATTCTTTTCGTAGAGATATTCTATATTTGTACGTCGCGCGCGCCTCTCTCATAGACTTTTTTTTTGCTCTCACGATAAATACGCGTGCCGCGTCAAGTTGTTTCGTAGTGCAGTGCCGCAGAAAATTTGATTGTAGACTTGTAAGAGAATTTAATTCGACGAAAAAGAGAATCAAATCTCTCCGTCCAAGTTCTCGAATCGAATTATTTTCTTGGTAAGAGGATATTATATATCGATATCCGAAAGAGGATAACACATTATTGTATATAAATATATAAATTATATACAAAAAATGTTGGACCGAAACGTAGTGCTTGTGTTGCGCACGAGGCAGGAAAGAACGGAGAGGCGCTTGAGGCACAAGAAAGAGGCCAATCCGCCACCGATGGAACCACCCGCGCTTCTCTTGAACAATAATCACCTGCACCTCGATCTTAACATGAATTTTCGCGAAAATTGCAAACAGGAAGCGGTCAGAGTCGCGAGAAGGGTGAGTTGCACGTTCTCGCTCATACGCATGTATTACATCGCAACTTTCGGTCTAGTGTAAAAGTGAAATGAATTACTTTTTACACGCGTACTATCGATTGCACCGGTTATGCGCGCGTCGTAAGTAAGTAATGCTAAAAGTTCTCACGAAAGCGTTGCCCTCGCGACACTGTACATACAATTTTTCCTTGCGCGAAGCAGGAAAGAACGTTAGTTGTAATTGTGTTGGGAGATACTTTCTCTGGCGTTATTCAGATAAAATGCTATATTATCGCAGCAAGAAGATCTTGCCTCGATAGAGTAGGTCGTTACAATTAGATCAGATGTATAATTCGTCACTAACTACCGGAACGTCGACTTTACTCAGTCGATGTAACCATCGTCGTGTTGCGTCACTTGGGAAATAGAAACTTCTTCCTGTATATATATATATATATCTTTTGTGTCATGAATACTACAATGAGAATTTTAAGTTTTACAATTATATTATATTTTAACCTTTCATGAACAGACTGAGTCTCCCAGACCCACCCAAAATTTCAAAGCGATGTCTCTCTCTAATAAAAATTAGTTTTTTTTTTTTGACGCTTATATCTTCTCGAAAATACTAGGAATTTTTTTCATCGACGTAGAATCGTTCAAACTTTTGATTAAAAAACAATTGAAGAAATATTGATTGTTCGCAAAAATATTTGATTTTAAAGTCGTGTGGGTCTCACAGACTCAGTCTGTCCAACTAGTAGACGTTTTTGGAGTTTAATCCGTGAAGGATTATTTTTTTTTTTAGAACTTTCTCGTATTTTATTTTATATTTTACACTTTTATATATATATATCTCATGCTTTCTATATTTATGAACGATTTATATAATCGTATTGCACACATTTACTCTGCCAATTGAAAAATTGCCTTGTTGCCCGTGTACTTTTGTACCACCGGAAGTGTGCGCGAACATGAGGATATTCTGAATACCTGAGATCGTTGGCCACAACGCATTATATTCGTATATTCTACAACTCTCTTCTTCTTTTCTTTGCACGTCATTCTATATGCCGGCGGTTCGTGACATTTTTTACTGAATGCGACAACGCGTGTATCTCTTTGTACACGCACTCTAAAGTAGAAAAAAAAAAAAACTTGCGTCCATTGTGCGTGTGATGTAGTACATATGTAACGTAATGACTTACAAGTAGGATACGATGATCATCGATCTAGGAATCACGCTCGATGATTTTCGTCTTGCAATTGTGTTCAGAGTTATTATACCGCACGTTGACTCATTTCACGCACATTAACCGCGAACGATATCCTTAACGTTTTAATTGCAGACACAAAAGAGATACGTATCAAAATATTATATATTTCATCAAATTGCGCGCCGAGATGTGAGAAACGTAAATTATTTGACAAAAGTATATTAATTTTTAATATGATTAATATTTATTAAAATATATAAAATAAATTGATTAAGTCTTGTTTATATTTGATTTGTATCGAAATATTCACTCAATATCATAATATAAATCGAATAATAATATAAATCGAATAATTTCAATTCTAATGTTATAGCATCAAATTATTATCAAATTATTATACAATAATTAGCGATTGCAACATTATTATATAACAACATTACGTTTTACATCATGCGGAGATATATTCCAATATATGACGTAAAATGTGAGCACAATGCGGACAACGCGTAATCACGCACGACCAATTAAGATTACGGATTGAAAATAATTCTCTAATCTTCGCCGTATTAGAGCCGTATTACCGCATTATTTTCTTATCAATGGCTGATCCATCACAGTTGGCTTAATTAATTATTAGAATAACAAGGACACTGGCGGCGATTTTAATTAAAGAATCAAAAATGCGCGCCTGCAAGACGCGCAACGATAAATTCCGTCGCACAGTTTATAAATCGTTTGCGCAATAGCCTCATTAAAATTTGAAATCATCAAGAAATGAAACCACGCGTCTCCAATTTGTCGTATAATAATCGAGAATCAAAGCGTTGAATTGTCTGCGAGTTTTGTGCGCGAAACAGTCGAATAATTTTCATCGAACGACGAATTTTGTTTGAAATTTATCATCAATAACTAATAAATTTATTTGTTGGAAAATAAATCGATGATGAAACTTGCAAGCGCTATTTCGTAGAGCGTATGAGAATTTCAAATAATTTGCTTACACTCGCATCATTCACTCTTATCTTTGCATTATCGTGCAGCAGAATTTTACGTAATGTCGTGCGTGTAGCACGTAGCTCGACACCTAAAACGACTGAGAACTTGTGGTTAGCCACACACTAACGTACACACACGCGCACGAACAGAATTCGCATATATAAATCTTGCGCAGCAACGATATTGTTATGATATACAAATAAACACGTGTATATGTGCGCGTCTGCATACATTTCAAGGCAGAGATACAAAAAGCACGTATATGCTTGATGGTTTGCGTACAGATATGCACGTACACTACTTCGACCGTTGAAAAGAAGGTGAAAGAGCAGTGTGTATGCATATGGTGGGGAATACTTGCATGCCCCACCCCCTTTAGCCCTCGCATTTTTATATCAACATTAGTGCGGCTCAAGACACCGTTGGACTTGCAGTTCCTTCGTTCATCTTATATAGTTCTATCTTTCTATTTGTGCTCTAAATTCTTGTTTTATTATTCATCTTGTAAATGACAGATGATTCATCATCGATCGGCGTCCAAACGTTTTTCCTAATTTGTAGTTTACTTAGTGCAAATCGTTTTTTTTTTTTTTTTTTTTTACCTCACACTTGATAATTCAGTGCAATCGGATTCTGTGAATCTCCAAAAGACAACACAAGTGCTAAGTTCAGTGACTGTATAAAAAATAATCGTGACATATATACATATATATATATACATATGTATAAAAATTGCAATTTCTCTTCAAAATTGCTTGAGTGAAAATTCTCTACATTTTCCCCTCTTCTTTGCCACCGCGTATCATACTTTCTCTCTAGTTCTTTATTTTATAAGCTCATATCGTTCTGCACAAAGAAGAGAAGAGGGGAAGAGTCGGATTATTACTTTGTCAATCGACCGCGGTGCGACCGCTGTCCTAAGGTTTCTGCAAGCGGCTGCGAGAAGCCAAGCAGCGTTCTGGAAGCTAAGTGAGAAACGGAAAACGTTCGTACGCGCAAAACAAAATCAATCCTTCATCCCGTCATCCCTTTCTTTTCACTTTGCCGTCCCTTCGTTCACGTATCTTGCGTCGCAACGCGTGTCTTTCTTTTTTTTTTTTTCTGTGTTCTCTTTTCCCGTTTCACGACCCATTATGGATCGCAACGAGGACACGAACGAGGGCGGCAGCTCGCCCGACACGATAATCGCGCGCTCCTCGTCGGAAGAGGAGAAGCAGAAACCTTCCACGGCCAGCACTTCCGGCGAGTACGTTACCGTGGGTGATAGCAGCTCCAGTCTCGACACCCTGACCAGCGGCAGCGGCGGTGTCGCGATTCTTTCGTCCAGCGCGAACACGGACGACCGGAAGCGAGGTAAATTCGGCGCGTTCAAGAGCAGCTTCCGCGAAGGCAGTTTGTTCAAGATTAGGAGGAAAACGCGCGAGATCAGCGGCGAGGCGGACGCGGAACAAGATGACAAAACTCCGAAGAGACAGATAGAGGATGACACAGGTTAACCCCACGATCGCGACACGTTACGTGAGATTGTACACGGACGAGAAATACGCGACGAGAAAATACGCGAATCGGATTTTTTTTTTTTTTTTTTNAAAAAAAAAAAAAAAATAAGCGTGAAGTGTGAAAAATCTTGGCGACTGAGAGCTGCTTTGTTTGTTGTGAGTGATTATTTGAATATTTAAAGAAAGTGAAAATACTTGATTTCTTTTTTTTGTTTTTTTATTTTTTTTTAGTTCTTTAGGTTTTTTTTTTTTTTTTTTTTGACATATTTTTAATTCTTAAAAAAAACAAAATTATCTTTGCTTTCGGAAATAACTTCTTTAAAAGCTGAATTATTTTTCTTGACTTTGCCCGTCCTCTTCTCTTCAGAGATATCTCGTCAGCAATTGCAGCCACTCGAACACGAGGAGACTAAATCGATTTCGGAGGCTAAATCCTTCGACGCGTCTTCGGCCGCGGCTTTGAAGAAGAAGAAAAAGAAGTCGCATTCATTGGTACGCAAATTGAGCTTAAATAAATTCCGTCTGTCGTCGGAACAACAACAACAACAACCACAACCACAACCACAATCACAACCACAACAACAACAACAACAACAGGAAATACGTCACACACCGGAAGGTGGGGATAGCAGTCGCTCGCAGAGTCAATCATCGCAAGAATCGCCCATTCATTCGTACAGTTCGAATGTAAGAACTGCGGTGAAGAAGGGGCAGGATAACGACGGCCTGGAGAGGGAAAAGGAAACTAAGGGGGAGCTTGCGAAAACAGAAAAGCTACTCGAGAAATCGACAAAGACTGTTACTGTAGTGCAGCGCAAAACGCCGTCGTTGACCATCAAGAGCTTTACATCCGTCGAGCAGGGTGAGCCTTGGATGCTACGGGAACGCTGATAGAACTTGCAAACTAAAAAGACGAAAGATTTTGCAACAATTAGTTTCGTCTTGCTTTGATGCTTAAATACGCTGATCTACTTATTCTTAGATTTTATTTGTTTTATTTTTATTTTTATTTTTATTTTGACCTCGTTGCTTTTGTAGACATCTATTATTGTTCTTGCTTGCACGGAGATCTATCATCTTTTTTCGTAGCCCACCCACTCGCCCAATAATCCACTCTGCTATTATTTGCAAAGTACTGTAGCCGGCGTCGTAACATTTTTTCCATTAAATTGGTCGAGAAAAGCGATCGACGACGTGTATTCGAAATTTCTCGCTTGCGCAGACATTGAGCAACATTCGCAGCAAGAAAAACCGGACAACTTATCGCGTTCCGACGCGCCATGCAGCTCGACGTTACCGTACGCGTTGTCGAAATGGCCGGAACGTAGCGAGACGATGAGACTTATGGATGATGTTGTGGCCAAGCGAGACAAACTGAAGACCAAGTCCAGCTCCGATTCCCTCGTGTCGTCGAGATCGTCGCCGGTTGAAGTTCGTCGCAAGTTGTCGTTGTTGGAGGAGAAACGAGCGATCTTTCAACGACGATATTTCGATACCTCGTCGAGCGAAAAGCAAACAGACGACACGCTCGATACAGTGATTAACGTCGATAACGACAACCGACAATTAAGCACTGCCGACAACGAGGCCTCTGAAGATTTTCCCGAACGGGGGCGGGAAAAGGAGAAAAAGAAACGAGCTCGGCAGATCAGCGTGAGAAACTTCGATACGTTTTCCACCATCGAAGGCACCTTCGACGAGGAATCGACAAAGGTGTTGGGTTACCTGGGAGGAATCGACGAAGATCTCACAGAAAGCTACAATTACTCGAGATTTCACGCCGCCATGGCACCTATCGTGGGAGATCAGAGTGACAAGGTGAGACTCACATTGGAGTGAAGACGTCGCGCTGATCGAGTTGTTCTCGCACTAACGCTACATGTTTTACGGCATTGAACAGCAATATCGAATTGCGAATCTCTCTCGACAAAAAAAACACACGAGTGCATATGTGTACAGGTTGATATCGTGTTGGAAACACGATAGTCCATTGCGCATTGACGTGCTCGCGGATGTAATTTAGTTCACCGCGAACTTCTGTACAATCGGATATCAATTAAAATCGAAAAACCAAATTTCAAAGTTATCTTGAGATCTGAATTTGAAAACCTCTGAAAAAAAAAAAAAGAAATGTGATGATATTGTGACTATATCTCTATGTCTCCATTCATAAATAATCGACTTACTTAGGACATGTTGATATTCTTATTGGTGTTAGATGAGAGGAATGCATTTGGAAAGGTTTTTAATTCTATGACGTGTAGATACGTGCCATATACCTGCGGTATGTTCCTGATACTGATACGCGCATTCGTTTTTGTCTCTCTTTAGATCTCGTATATATATATATATATCTTTGTGCGTCTCAAGTTACGTGGTTCTCTATCACACGCCGCACCTATTGAGAGAAGAAGAAAAAAAAAGTGTGTGTGTTAACGCATAACTGATCACAGAGGTGATCGGATAAATTAATTAAAAACAAATCAGTTTATTTCAAAGGTTTAACGATTAAAATATCAAGTGGAAGAAACATTGAGAGAACTTCCCTCCACAACCGATCGCGGTTATATTCGGGTTGTTGATAATAACACATTAAGATGCAAAAGACTTATTGTATTTATAGTTCACTTGTGCGCGATCCCCCACATTTGCACCCGAGGATAACCCTCTGCTACACGTGAGTCACTCGTTCATTTCGCTAGCGCGAGCTGCACCAGCGTGATCGTTTTGCGAGAAACACGCAAAGATCGTTAGATAGTTTTATTGATCGCTCGTTGATTAATATAGATATGGACGTGGAATTGAACATCTGGCGAAATTTAGAGGCGCTCGATTTCGGAAAGTGGAAGGTACAACCGAAAGATTGGAAGTGGCAGAGGGTTCGTGTGTCTCGCAAGTGTTTTTGCATTTATATAAAATCAATCTGTAAATGCATCCGTTCTAACATTAATCATCATCGAATTATTTTAATTAGTGACTAATAATTTATATGTGTATTTTTTTATTTTTTTATAATTAATAAAATGTATAATTTGTTAGAAATCTTTGTATCGAGTTAATTCTCTCTTATCTTGATGAGAGTGGAGAGAAGAACGGACGATGTGAGTGCGTCATTATGAACGTAATTCTAAATATATATCCTAAAAGAAAATCTTTAGATGTGTGTGTGAGAGGAGAACATAAAAGATATGCTTATATTATTTTTTTCTTTTATTGTTTCAGTCGTCGAATAATGCATCGAGTCCCGCGGTAGAGAAACGGGAGCATTTGTACAAAATACTAGTGATCGGCGAGCTTGGAGCGGGAAAAACATCTATCATCAAGCGATACGTTCACCAATTCTTCTCGCAACATTATCGCGCAACGATTGGCGTCGACTTCGCGCTCAAAGTGCTAAACTGGGATCCACAAACTATCATCAGACTGCAGCTATGGGATATCGCAGGTCAGTCGTAATTCATTCACATTTTCTTTGGATCCATAATAAAACGAACATAATACTTCATGACATGACTGATTAACATTTTAATATTCTACTTGCGTCACACTTTCCCCTGTTTACTCACTGACGACACTGAAAAACATACTTCAGATATCTCAAGTGGCTCGGAAATTAAATTTAATATGTTCGTTTAAAATAACATCTCGAGTCGTAGAACTTTGTGTACAATATTAAATCTATTATCTTTGCTGCACTCTTCAATCAATTTGCGCAACTTGTTTATCACACAGGTCAAGAAAGATTTGGAAACATGACTAGAGTTTATTACAAGGAAGCCGTAGGTGCCTTCATAGTATTCGACGTGACGAGAAGCGCGACGTTGGACGCGGTAGTGAAATGGAAACAAGATCTCGATTCAAAAGTTCAACTTCCTGACGGATCGCCGATACCGTGCGTGTTGCTTGCGAATAAATGCGACCAGCAGAAAGAAGGTCTTGTCAATTCGCCCGCCAAGATGGACGAGTACTGCAAAGAAAAGAATTTTGCCGGCTGGTACGAAACCTCAGCGAAAGAGAATATCAACATCGAAGAAGCAGCCAAATTTCTCGTTAGCAAAGTAAGAGATATTTCATTTGCTATTTTTATACAGCTTTATCTTTCTTTCTACCTCGCAAACAATTCAAAATTATGCAATTGCTTACGTCTGTTGCTTGTGCGTGACGTTCGGCGAATTAATCGTCGACGACTGTTGCGTCAAAGATGAGGAGATGATCGACTTATGATACATGACATTAATTAATCGTATACATATATTATAAAATCTAATCAGCATTGTTGACATCTGCATGTCAAATTTCTGATAGAAAGAGATTATCTGTTTTGCTCGCGTACGATATCTCAATATAGATATTGTCTCTTTTAGGTGTTAATAATAAAAAATAAAATAAAAAATAAATAATTTATAAAATATTTGCTTCAGATACTTCAGAACGATCAGCTTATAAGAGGCAACGGCGCTCAAGACCAAGCGGATAACGAACGATTCGTGTTGAATCAGTCACCAACAAGCTCCAAAAAATCCTGCGGCTGCTGACGAAGAGGCAGTTTGTCGAATTTAAGATTGAACTTATGTTCGCAATTGTCCGTTAAATGTCAACGCATTTTCGTGGATGTCATGAATACAGTAATGCGTTTTTACATCTTGTCGTTTTTCGCAATAGAAAGCGTCTGCTTGTTCTCGAGTGCGAGAATATGTTCGTTAACATTTCTTCGGAAATTATTTGAACCTGCCTGTACGATTTGTTTGGTGTTTCTCTCCGAACAAACAACTCTTTAACTAGCTTCATAGATATACAGTATAAAGAGCTATGATTTAAGGAGAGATATGTAATAGCGTAAAGAGTTTCTAAATATTTCTATGAGCACACAATGCTTGAGATGCATAATGAACATGACTTTGAAAGTTACCGCCATCATTACTCTTTAATAAAAAAAAAAACTGATACACTATTGTGCAACCGCGATATAGATCATAACCGTGAAACGATCTTTTATCGGTTTTGCCTTCCATTACCGTGATATAATGCATAGAATATATTTATACATTTATATTGACTTAAGTGAACACTAGAGTATAATGAAAATCTCGACTTAAGTCGTGCGAACGCGAGAAGCTTTCCTCTTCAAGTATTTAAACTTGTCTCATACAAGACAAACACTTGTTTCACTTTTGCATTTTATTGCACATATGGAACTATTGAACTAATGCACGAGTAGATTTATATGTGTTGTGGTAAAAGCGCAAAAATAAATTAGAAAATTCAAAGCCCTCGGTAACGCTCTTACATGCTTTCGCAAAAGCATACTTTCGCAAGTTCAAATTAATGTAATGAATTTTAAGCTTTTACTGTAACATATATAAAACAAACTACTTACATTTTTCGCCCGAAATCAATGACTGATCTTACAGATAAAGATCGTTTTTAGTGTCATTAGCAGTAAGAATGTTACCGTGTTGTAGTTTATGTAAATCGTAATATTTATATGATTACTTGAATAATGCAACTGATGTATTGCAATCCGATAAAAATACGTTAGGTAGTGGTTTTTTTTTTACTTCAATTTTCTTATTACATCATGTTGGCAGTAACACTTTTTATCCATTTCATTAATCGTACATGCATGTTTACTTCACTGACTAAATTATGTTATCGACAACATTGTGCCTTTGTTCGCACAATTGCAGCTACTAATTACTCGAGGTAGCTGATTGTAATTAAAGCGTCACGTTGCGTCCAATGGTCGTTTTATATGATACACGTTCAAATCTGCAGCACGCGAGGCTGTTTTCGTGCCAGATTGCATTGGAATTCATCAATCGTGATTTGGAATTTGAAATATCGTCGCGATGCTCGCGCGTGAGAATCTAGTACGAAGAAAAGCATCGTATGCTGCAGGCTTTAAAACAGATTATTGACGGTATATTTACAACGTTTTGATTGACACGTTCACGATAAAACTGTAGCAGCAGACAAAAAAAAAAAAAAGGAACGAGAATATTTCAAGAACGATAGTTTGCTTCGCGATGTCAGAACTTGAAAGAACGTTCTTGATACAGGTTTACATATGTAGAGAGACATGCGTTTTACGTAAGTATGTTGAGAATATGTATACATTACACTGTAAATAACGCGTAGATTTTAACATTATAATGACCTTTCTCATTTTTCGAGCGATGTTGGCATGTTTGCACTTTTATACATAGAGTATATATATAATGCGGATTTCTAAAACGTATTGCTATAAAACAGAGAACATTTGTAGATATAATATAATGGATGTTCCCGAAAAAAAATAGAAAACGTGTGATCATGTGGGATTATATGTACATCGGTCGGGTATGTGTGGTTTTATATATCAGGGGCAGCGAACTGGCGGCTCACGTGTCTCTTTCTGTCACTTACGTGTCGTGCTTGTGACTCGCGGCGACAAAGAAGTTAGCTGCCTCTGTTGTATATGATTTTATTTAAGCCAGATTTCACGTAATCGTGGAAAATCCAGAGACTTTGAGGGCCTTGGGCTAACACTGTCTACCTGTTCCAGTAGTTGGAATTATTTTTAGAGCAAAAAAAAAAGTTGTTTTTGCCGTTTATTTTTGACCGCAAAGGGACCCTACCCATTTGACTGTGCCAGTACTTGGAATTATTTTTATTGCAAAAAAAAAAAAAAACAGTTGGTTTTGCCGTTTATTTTTGACCACGAAGAGACCCTTTGATTGAACGGGGCCCCGGGTTGCAGCCCATAAATCCGCCTCTGGGAAAATCAAATTCAAAATTTGGCGCGATCTGATCACTTGTATATAATCTTATATGATCATATTGTGTTTCTATTTTTTCTCGGGTTATTTTGAACATATGTGTGTGAAGAGAAAGAGAGAGAATTATGAACATAACCGATATTATATCATCTTATTATTATTTATAACAATAATAATAGCAATACAATGTTTGCCTACTTTTGACTCTTCTTTTGTATAGACGCAATGATATACATGTAAGTACAAAAAATATATTTAAATGTATTTGTTTATACACCAGAATATTATGTGTATTTTGATGTTCTCCTCATTACTTATATTTATACACATCGTGTTTTATTAATATCATCAATCTTTTCTTCCATATTTATTCTATCTTAGAAAGTAGTAATGACACACTTTACTGTTACAGTTCGAAGCAGTAGTAAGATCTAATTACTATAATCCTACCTTATAAATATGTCCTGGGTTTTGTAGATAACAAAGATAAGAAATATTAAAAAAAAAAAATAGAGCGATAGCGAACATTTATATATCTGTCAAGTACAACGCGAGATTTCAAACACACTTTCGCATTAAGTTAAGAAGTTTCTTTTGCGAGAACGAGAGATAAAGTGAGAAATGACTTCTGAACTTCTGCAACTTTGTTGGGAGAACTTGACCGTAACCGTGTCAATCGAAGACGACAAGTGTTCGAAAAAATTTTCGTCCAGATTTTCACGTAGAAAATGTGTAAAACCGCTTGATATACTAAGAAAAGGTAATTGTTTTATCAATATTAAAAAAAACTTTGTATAAACTTACTTAACGATATCGATCGTAGTTTTTTTTTTTTCATGATTCTTCGAGAACAACGAATATTATTTCCTTCTGTTAATAGTTATTAAAAATTAATAATAGTTTTTTTTCTTTAGTATCCGGCTACGCGGAACCTGGTAATATGTTTGCTATATTAGGACCGAGGTATCAAAAACAAATATTACATACACTATATGTAGTTTACTCATTAGTCCGCGAGAGAGTGTTACCAAGGAGAAATGTATATATCTGTTTTCAGTGGTGCCGGTAAAACTATGTTTCTTGCTGCTTTGGCAAGAAGACTTAAATTAACTTCGGGCGAAGTGAAAATAAATGGGTATAATGTTTCTAAAGAAACGATGATGGAAGTATCAAGCTACATGCCGCAATTTGACGCTCTGCCTTCTGCGCTCACGCCGAAGGAATATATGTTGTTTACGGTACGAAAAGGAAATATTTTGTTGCATAAAGTGTTAATATAACGCCGTTAAACTTGAATAATTTTGACTATCAAAGAGAGAAATACACGAATAAAATTTATTTTAATCATTTTTGTTGATTTTTTTATTTAATATTGTTTTTTAATTTTTCTAAATAAAATAAGATACTCGCAATTTTAAAGAAAATTTTGCAATAGAGATTATAGATTGATGTCAAGCTCATGTGAAGAGTGATGTTTCTTTAGTGTGCCCTGAAAATAGGAAATAGTTGTAGAGTGTCGCGAAGAAAATTCTTTGGAGAAGAACTTCTGCGCAATCTTGGATTGCACGATTGCGGCGATACGGTGATTTCAAAGTTATCCGGCGGTGAAAAGAAGCGTTTATCCTTGGCCGCGGAATTGGTGACAAAACCCAAAATACTCTTTTTAGACGAGCCGACCACAGGTGAGAATTAAAATTGTCGCTTTCGTCTACAATTTGTGTTGATTATTATTGCAATATATTCAGGTTTGGATACTTTTGCCGCGACATGCGTCGCGGAATCGTTGAAACTGATCGCCTCGAGAAACACCATAGTGTTTTGCACGATTCATCAGCCGGGTATGTCAATATACAGCATATTCAGTCACGTGATATTGATGGCCGATGGAAAATCGGTATACTTCGGCACTCGGGAACGCGCCACGGAGTTTTTCGAAAGGTAAACAACATTTCTGGATAAGCAGTGAAGTTGCGCGACAATAACGATGAGATGTTTGCGCAGCCAGAATTATCGCTGCCCGGCGAACTACGACGAGTCCGAATATTACGTGAATATTCTGTCACGTCGGAACTCGACACATCGCGATAGCGAACAACTGTGTCAAGCGTTCTCGCGATCGCTGCTGTCAAAAATTCCCGCAGTCGAGTGCGCTCCAATGTTTCATGCCGCTTCTCAAAAGTACGCTTCAGTAGGAATTTTTCAAAGAAGTTTTTCCATTTTTAACATTATTATTTATATTTTTTAATTTAATTATCTTGATCGCAGGAAGTCAGGATGGTTCGTGCAATTTTATTGGCTGTCCTGGAGAATGTTTCTGCAAAGTAAAAGAACAGCTTTCGATAATTGGATCGCATGGTTTTCTTATTCTGTAATAATAGACAAATTACGTAAACTTACGAACTTAAGCCACAAATTGAGATATTGAAACGGATTATGATCTTGCAGCTTTCTATTATCTTTATTAGTATCTATTTTACTGGCATCGACTCGTCGACACAAAACGGAATACAAGGCGCTCGAGGCGCTTTGTACATGACGATCTCCGAAATTGTTTTCACGATCGTCTATTCCGTTCTTTACGAATTGCCTGGTGAACTCGTGCTTTATCTTCGCGAAAATACCGTGTACGCACCTGGACCTTATTACTTCGCAGTAGTTCTCGGTTTGGTATGCGATTTAATAAATCACGTAAAAAAAAAAAAAAAACAGAAGTTAACTAAAACCAGATTATATAAATTTTCTGACAAAATTATCATCGAGTAAAAAAAAAAAAAAACTGTCTTAGATACCCAAAACAACATTTAAAGCCCTTTTGTTCACGCTCGTGATGTATTTCATACTGCATTCGGAATTTCAACTGCTCGATGTTCTCTTATATTGTCTCTGTACGACAACAGCGGCAGTTTGCGGCACCGCGTATGGTCTGATAATGTCCAGCTGGATCGTCGACATTGAAATTCTGACAACTGTAATGATACCGCTCGATCTGCTGTTTCTTCTTATGGCCGGCATGTTCTATAATCTTTGGTACATATCTTATTAATGGGTAATATACATTATGTTTTTATGATGAATATAACTAATATAAACACATATCTATTAATATATATATATATATATAATTAATATACGTATGTTTTTATGATAAATTATTTAAAGTGATAGTTTGTAATTGTAGTAAAAACCAATATAGTTGAGTTTGTATTATATTACTTCCACCAGCACTTTGCCGAACTATTTGCTCTACTTGAAATATTTCTCGATATTTTACTACGCCAACGAAGCCATTTCGATAGCATATTGGTCAGAAGTAAAGAATATAGGTAAGAAATGACAACGTGTTGTATGTACAAACGTTTTATCAATATTTTAATCTTATTTTTTTTTTGTTTTTTAGATTGTCCAGTAAACTACAGTTTGCCTTGTTTGTTGAACGGAACAGAAGTTTTAACGGAATACGGGTATAATGAGGAAAACTTCTGGTTCGATATCACCGGATTATTGCTTCTAACAATTCTGATGAACATTTTTGGATATTTCGGTACAAAAAGAAGAAGGACATTGAAGTCAATTATTTAGTTCGGAGAAAAGTAATCGATAAGTTTATATTATAAAACGACTGTAAAGTAAAATACAAATCTTGATTATTCACTAATTTTTTTTAACACAGTTTCAAAATTTTGTTAATACCGCATATTTATCATGCCACAAATTCAAATAATCATAATATTTTGTTCATTCACGTCAGCAAATTGTGTTTTCGCTCGAGCAGTTAAACTACCGTTTTTTCGAGCAACCTAATTTCCACATGTGCAACTAATTTATCTGTTACATAAACCAGCTGCAAAAATAATGTAAAAAAAAAAAAAAAACAAGAAGAGAAAAACTATAAACAGTAATTACGGTTGCGGCAAAGCGGAACGTTTTTTTTTTTTGTTAGTTCTCCTCAACAAAAAGGCAGAAACGAGAAAACGCTGTTGTTTCTGAAATGTGTCTGTGTCGCTAATAAAGAATAACTGATTCTGTGAAGAAACGACGAGAAAAGACAGCAAAAAAAAGTTTAATTTAACTAATTATGCGGTTCTTTTTTATCATCTTCCGTTCTTTACTACTTTTGCAAATTTTTAAAAAATATTCTCAAGTTTATATAACAACGTTGCAAAGTAAAAATTAAGGTAATCGCTCTTTTTTTTTTTTTTTTTCGATCGATTGTGTTAGAACTAGGAGTCGAAAACAGCAAAGAAACGGGACGACGCGCGCGAAGACATGCGCCCAAAAGAGTGGGGGAGATCTGCCGCAATCGCAATAAAACGATGAAAATATTGGAATCGGCGCAATATGATTTCACGACGGGTCGCGAAATGAAACGAAACAATGTTTGCGTTGCGCGGAACCGTCGAATATTCCTCTCTCGTTCTCATCTCATCCTCTCTCACCTCTCTGGCCGCGCTGCGAGTCGAGGATTTGTTAATATTGAGCGCGTTCTAGCTAGTACAGTGCCAAAATGGCCGGCGTTTAGTCGTCCCTTAGTTTGGGTTTAAGTCGACCTTATTCTCCCACAGTCTGGTAACATCAAATTATCTCGTTGCTCGCGTCTGGTCAAATCGTTTCACGTACACAAAGTTTGTTAACATATTTTCCGTTCAGAAAACATAATATAATACATATATATATATATATTATTTATAAAAAAAAATATTATTTACAAAAAAATTGTATAGTTACGAATAAAAAATTACAATGTGTTTTTTCGTAAATAGAAAATTTTGCAATTGTAAAATTAACTGAACTTATCGCAAACAAACCTTTCTTAGCTTGAATACTAATTTTTTAAACATTATTTTCGCGTTAGCAAACAGATTACACAAAAATGACTAAGCGCATAGATAACGTACTTCGGGTATGGGAATATTTATGTACACGTAGGTTATCGGGCAGATGTTCGAACTCGATCAGTACTTACTCTCTTATCGACAAACCCAAACGACGATTTTCGCGGCACTCGGTAGACAATTAATAGTGACGCGCCGGTATAGCAACTAAACAGCTGACTGTTCTAAAACCGCGCTTAACCTTTTGACTTCGTAGGACGCCTATAGGTGCTCGGTGAGATATGTTTCTCTCGGTGCGCGTAGAGCGCCTTTAGGCGTTCGATGAGAGATGGTCTCTTGATTGATGCGTGGAGCATCGTTCGATTGGCGCGTTTTTGTTTCTAAGAGTCCAACAGTCAGGAGGTTAAACAAGCAAACGCGAGGCCGCCGAAACAGCGGCGAATCGGAGTGCGCGTGTACAAGCCTATATATATATATTTGTATTTTCCCGTAGATCGGCGTGGATTAACTTCAAATCAGAGAGACGGAAGTCAGTGTTGGCAATCGAAGCCGCGCGCAAAGCTAATCCGCGATAATAATAAAAGACACAATGTCGGAAGCGACTACGGTGCTTCTGAGGAAGAGGGAAAGAACGCAGAATTGGATCCCGGAAGAGAAGAGCGTACTGTTCGCTCTCATCAAGCATCACATTAATGCGATCGAGAACAAGAAGATCGACGCCGCCGCGTCCGCGATGAAATCCTTCGCCTGGCAGCAGATCTACTGCGCATTTCGCGGTCGATTCTCGACGGATCGGGATATCACTCGTATCAGGGAGCAATGGCGAAGAATGAAGGCGCAATCCAGAATGGAGATGTACACGTTTGCCGAAAAGGTGCCCCCTCATTCGGATTGTTTATTTTTTTTTTTGGAGCGGCGGAAACACTTTGTTGTTAGTTTTTTAAATTTCTTTGTGCTCTCTTTCTCTCTCTCTCTCTCTCTCTCTCTGCCTCTCGCGCAGGTGCGAACTCTGGGACCGGAAGCGGCCGCGAAATCCCGTCCTTCGAATCTATCGATCGAGGTGTGGAGATTGATGGAGAATATAAAACGAAACGACGGCGAGACCGATCGTTCGGATGACAGCAGTCAGGATAATGAAAATCCGGTGAATCGGACGACAATACATGCTATCCTGGATAAATTACTGACAGAAGCATTAGGTTTTTGAAAAGAAATTCTCTTTGTTTTTAGTTTTATACATATCGTAGTTTTTTCTTTTTTTATTTTATCGTGCTGTTTTAATAAGTTTTAATAAAAACTGTTTATTATGATATATCTGACGGTTAATTACTCTCTTATTAATTACTTATTGAAAATTGCTGTAAATTTTCCGATCAATCAAAATCTTTTTTTTTTTTTTTATATTTAAAGAAGAACGCTTTCTTTTTGTCTCTTCTTTTTCTCGTAAAGTAAATTTTATTTCTTTAAACGTTCGATAAATATTTTTAATTTTTATCGTATAAATTTTCAAAATCAAAAGTATAAAAACGATTTATTTAGCAACAGACCACAATATTAAAATCGAGGAGAATAATGACATGGAGGACGAAAACAGCAACAGTGAAATGTCGCAAAACCAGCCCGATGACGTCTCGCCTCAAAAGCGTTCGAGGATCATGGAAAACAAGCCTGTGGATCTTGCGGAACAAAAAAGTGCTTGTCCGGACAGCGTGTCGACGTCTCATATTGACGATGGTATTCGCTGTATTGCCTCAAATTCCTTTGGGAATCAAATACATTCTAGACGTAGAATCATTTTTTACAAACAGTCGAACACTGCGACCTAGCGACGGAGTTATCTTCCGCTTCCATGGCCTGTCCGACTATTTCCAACAAAAATAAGTGGCTTCAGCGGGAGATGTGGATATTCAAATCCACTCAACGCGAGCACGAGATTAAACTAAAGATGTTAAATATCGAGCTTGAGCGCGCGAATTTGCAGAGACAAGCTGCCATCAACGAGCTAAAAACATCGGAAATTAAGAGACAGTTGATGGAAGATCAAGCTTCCGATTATTACAGGTAAAATTTATGTAATATATCTTATTTAATACATTTTCTAAAGAAAAGAACATTAATTGAGACAATTATGTCACAATCAATACTGACACCCGCAATTTGATCAGCTCTCCGTTTAATTCAATCGATTGAGTACCTCGAGATAATTGATCAATCGTATTAGTCAAATTAAGCCACACCGTATAACTGATTAATACTGATAAATTAACCAACTGATCGATTGATTGGTCAATTGGAATTTGATAAAACTAGACAGAATTTACCTCCAAAGAACAAACTTATCGACGTTTAAAGTAGCGGAAGTCTGTAACATTCGCGGCGCCAGCGTCGCGACGCTCGTCGAGTTTCACGTTCTTAAGAATTGCGACTTGTTTATGACGAACGACCGTCGCGTTCCGAACTTGAGGTGTTCTTGATCGTTCTTGATGATCTGCCAAGTCTACGTTTCCTTCTGATATCTGATATTTTGTGATCGGAACAATGCAACGAGCTATTAAGAACATCGTATTTTCGCGAAACATCTCAGCGTTAAGGTACATTACTGTGCACCTTTAAATCAAAGAGAAATAGTCCGTCACATAATTATCCAAAGTTCACGTTTCTTACCCGGCTTTTTCCTATGACAAATCGTAAACCACTATTTTTATGCGTAATAACATATCTTCTTTACTCTCTCTTTCTCTCTTTTTCTCCGATTTAAGATTGCATTTTATTTTTTGCTGAAAATGCAAATAGCTGAGTTATCTTTTCTGTGTATCGCGGATTTGTGACATGACCTATGTAACTGCCATATCAAAATTATGTAATGAATTGTAGTAGACTTAACCTCTGAGTAATCTTGTGTATCTTCAATATTTCTATTATTTTAAATGTCTTATGTTTTTAGTCAGGTGAGGATGGCTGGAGAACGTGGTTCTGGTGCTGGCAAAGGAGGCGGTGGTGGCGGTACCATTCGTGAGGCTGGTGGATCGTTTGGAAAGATGGAAGCTGCCCACGAAGACCAATATTTTTATAATTTGGTAAGTTTGACACTTTTCCGTTATCTGTTTCTTTATTGAGAATTTTGATTCGTTTTATCTAACCCTGGAATGTTGCTTTCAGCAAAAGGAACAATTGCAGAAAATGAGAGAAAGTCTTCACGACGAAATCTCATTCCACGAGGAACAGATTAAGCGTCATCAGGAAGCTATAAATCGTCACAAAAAACGGATTTCAGATATGGACGAGAAACAGTAAAGAACTTTATATGCTATTATATTAGCCTATAATGTTGATTTCCGTGTAAAATGATTGAAAATAGTAGAGATACTAAAACGTATGTAATATCACATAAATCTTTTTTTTTTTTATGTATAAAATGATTTATTAAATACAAATGCTCCTAATATATATTAATTAAACGGTAACTCACACATTATTTTGTTGTATATTATGTGGAGAGACTATTATTATTGGTGAGACTATTATATATGGTACATTTGTATGTGTCCGAGAAACAGTTACTTAAGAATAAAACATGATCTTTAATCATTGCTAATAATTTTGTCTCGATTATCACACTATTGTAAAGACATATCATTTCAACCTGTAAATATGTAAAAAGTATATTTATTAAAATACAAAGAAAAAACCAAAGAGCCTATGGTCCGGGTTGAAGGTGGACGTTCAAATACAATATAAAACGCAGTGTATTCCGGACGTTTCGATCACTTTTTATTGTTGATCATCTTTTTTCAGCACTGTTTACATAATAATATGAAAATTATACAATTGTAAAAATATAAAACTCCGTTAGATCTTTTATTAATATATAAATAATACTTTACGTATTAACACTTACAATATTTATACTTGTTAGAAAGAAGAAAGCCACACTTTTCTGATAAGATCTCACGTTCCGCACAAAAATGAGTAAAATATTTTGTCTATGTATTATTAAATAGTTTGTTATTTTTTTGATAAATTATGTTACTTTATATTTGCCTTTATTTTTCTAATTTTTTTTGGCAAGAACACTTAAGTCACGCGGAGTTTACTGCTAGATGGCAATTAATGTACTGTTGCTTGTTCTAACCTACAATCGAACAAGTAGACAAACTTCTGTATTTTTTCTCAATACGAGAAAGAGAAATAAAAATTTTAATCTGCAAGTCACTCAAAAATGCTCGAAAAGCGATATATGTAATTGTAATTCTTGAAAAGTTAAGTTTTTAGTTGAACAAATGAGCAAACTTGGTTGTAATATATTAGACGTTCAATTTTATCAAACTGTATAAAATTAAATTATTTTTCCACGAGGATACAAATTAATAATGTCATCACAGGAGATTATAAGCCATTAAAAAAAATTAATTATTAAAATTATACTTATTTACAATAATCATTGATCAAAATCAAAATCTGTATATTTAATATTTGATGCATCTTTGTTTTATTTGTGTATAACCTTTATTTCAAAAATAACACACATATTGCTGAAAACAGTACATTATTTGCTGAAAAATTAAATCAAAATTACAGTATAAATATTTGTCTGTATATTAGAGTATTGATTTACCGATTGCAATGTTCCGAAGTGTTTTTAGGAAAACACATATGTCCAGGTATTCATTTTTAATAAATCACATTAAAAAAATGTGTTATTATATAATATTTATCACATATATATATACATATATTTGGTTACGTGTGCTGTAAAAAAATACATATGCAATATGTCTTATTCCAGATTTATTAGATATTTTAATAGAAGAGCGAAACATGATTCGAAAAAAGATGAAACGGCACTCGGCGATGTGGCATACGAAACGGAATATTATTATAAACAAGTAATAAGTAACAATTTTTTTTGCTGTTTAAATTAAAAAAGATCAACTCTATAACGCGCGCAACGGTTTATAAATATTATTCAGGACAAGAAAATGCTAAAAGATATCAAAGAAAAAACTCAAGACGAAGTGAAACAAATGCAAAGAGAAATACAAATCATGCGGAATAAAATTGAGGAATATAATCGCGGCATAAGCGAGAATCTGAGATTCTTAAAAGGCCTAGAGAGAGACTTATCTGCCGGCGATAAGAAGAATTAACGTTCTAATTAGAATTTCAACATTTTCGTTAAATTTATTAATTTTCTGCGATTTATACAAAACTGATTTGAAATAAACATTTTTCGTATTTGCAAGCTCGATTCACCGATTCCACGCGTTATTTTCTCTTAGTGAAAAATTTCGAGCTGAACACATTTATTTACAGTTCTCGCTAACCCGGTCACTCGCATGCAATTCGATCTCGCGCAACATCACATTCATCGCTGTGAAAAGTATTTAAAAACGTTGTAGAAATTTTTTTTTTAATACGTTTTCAGTAGTTGAAATATTCAAAAATCTGTTTTCGGTTGTGTTCGGACGCGCAAACGTTTTTATGCGTATCAAAATAAATTTGTAATTGCCGCCGGTCAAATCCGCGCGATTTTGATTCGCCGTCGACAGATGGCGTCAAGCGCGGGGGCGGCGAGGCAGCATGGCGGCCAGTCGAGTCTGGTTAGTCGACGCTAGCGGGCGATCGTCGCGCCGCCAGTGTCTCGCGGTTCATCGATCAGTGTGGTGTGTGTCGCGGAGTTGTTGTTCCGGGAGATTTTTTTTAGTGGTTTGTTCCTACTTTCCCTCCGATGTTTCACGGTGTTCATCTCAGGATTCGTGCGGACAGAGCGGTCGTCGCGAACGGGACTCACCGACATTACGGTAGAAAGATGCCACTAAGGATACACTGGATTCTGATTAGCATGGCCGTGGTGATCCTCGCGGGATTCAACGCCGCTACCGAGGTGAGTGTTGTACACGACGATATCGAAGTCGGAAAGAAAGAGAAGGATTTGATGCGCGTCTTTTGACGTCGTGTCGAGTAACAATTAAAATTTCGAAACGCCTTTACTCCGGTTTTACAATAACAAAAACGATCGTGTGCGAAAAAAACAATTACTTCAAACGTACGTAAACGCGACGCGCTGCCTTTCTCTCTAATATTAAAGTATCACGCCGATTATAAGGCATCTCCGTCCGACCAGTGGTGTTCAAATCGGAGTACCAAGTGTATACAATTTACAGATCTCACGAAATTTCGATCAACCGCGTCGATCGATCACTCGAATCGACCAATACGAATCCGATCAAATTCCCCGAGATCCGCGTTGTTGCGATCTGCGACTTTCTTTGGATTAAGAGCTTTCAAATCCGCTTTCGCGTCGAGATCGCTTGTCGTTTACAGTCTCGCGTTCTCTTTTTGACCGCAATTTAATTTCCGACTCCGGAACACGTTCCGGAGCGAATGCGGAAAGAATTTGTAAAGTTGTCACACGGAACAAACGTAGCGTTCGCGCACTCGCGCCGTCGCGACATCGAGAATCGGATAATCGTACAAAGCGATTCTCACCGTATCTGTATTCGAAGAGAGTTTATGAGTTTCATAGAGTGAAAATCCGCTACTCCAGAATGTTGTCAATAAACACGCCGGAATAGGGAAACACGCGCGTTTCTCTTTCTCTGTTTTTCTGTCTCTCTTTCTTTCTCTTTTCCTGATTTTTATTTGCCTAATAACTTTTATTTAATAATTAGATGCTAAGTTATGCTAAGTTATGCTAAAGATCGAGTTCATTGCCGAACAACGTAACAATGCGTTGTTAATTTCGTTAAAACTTAAAACAAAAAAAAAACAAAAAACAAATCAGAACGAGAGTTCGAAACGTTTAAATCTTCTTCTCGATCAAAAGAAGGCAGACATCGCAAATTAATGTTCGAACGCGCAAATTTTCCCGAGCTTTAACTCTGCGACAGATGTTGCGACTGTATATGTTTATTCCTTCCTACGTTTTTGTTTTTAGTTTGCACTTGTTAGCGTTACGTCCGCGGAAATGTTATTGTAAAACCACGGACGTTCTTTTTGCGTTACGCAAAAAATAATGGCCGGTCTAATATAACAGTGACAGTGTAGCGGTGACAGCAAATACGCTCGCAAGATATGTGCGCATTTTGTTGTTGCCTTTTGATAAGTTTCGACTAATGACTGACTTGTTAGAAGCGCGTGAAATATTAATTGAGCAAAATACTCGACTGTTTTTTAATTGTGTGTTGCGTATGACTGTGTGGTTCTAAAACTAAAAAAAATATGTTAGAATCACGTATATCTCCGCGAGAGCAAACGGTCGTCTACTCTGGAGCACATCGCTTTTTGGATCGAAAAATAGCCTTGGGGTTATCTCGGAAAAACGTATTTTGTTAAACTTTACAGCTGTAACACACACATGCGCGCGCGCGCGCACACACACATACACACATTCGCAGTTTGCGCAGCGATATGTATTCATGTTATGTCGATACTTGACATACGATTTACCGTGCTTGCCTCATACTATCTTGAACCACTTATCAGAGCCAGATTTGCGGTGTAATAAAATAATCGAACCGAGTTTAACAAAAAAAAATTACCGATATCGCGGATATAATTTTCTCGATATGAAAGAAATATATCTAAACTTCTCTCTCGCGAGCACTTCTATCGTTTGCTTAGTAAAACAATATTGTTGCGATTTACAAAACAATCGAAACAGTTTGAAAAGTCAAAAAGAAGTGAAAGAAAATCTGTTGCAATTTCGGAGTTTTTCTCTTCGATAACTTTTTTTTTTTATTTTCTCAAACACTTCTTTATGCTGTGCAAAAAAAAAAAAAACGAAACCAAAACATCTCGCGAAAATAACGCGCACACGGAATTCGGCGCGGAGGAAATAAATTTCGGCGAAAAGGTGGCGTTTTGCCGAGCCGATGGACATAAATCCCGTACACGCGCGCTTACACGTAGTTACATTTTACAATTGCGCGACCTTTAATGCAGACAACGTTGAGGGGAAGGAGACGAGAGAGGAGCGCGGCGTCCTCCCGAAAGCCGGCTGGTTTTAGTGGCCGATGAAATATCGCCGGTAATAATCTCGCTGTCTTCGCGCGGAAAATGCATTTCCCGTACGCGCGGGTCGCCGCTTTAACCGTAAGAGGAGCTTGTAAATATTCCTGTATCGCTACCTGCATTCTTTACCTTTTCTTATCTCATACATTGGCTAACGCGCTTTAGACGAGAAAAAATTGTTTTCTTCTCGCTATTGAAATTTTTTCTTCGTCGCGATGTTGCGCGATCACGTACGTAAGTCGATTTGATCGAAGACCGAAAGAGAATACGTGTGTTACATCTCGAATATTTTCTGCACCGTAATTGAGATGATGAACTTCAGTACACTGTGTTTTAAGAAAATTGCTCTACAGATGTTTTCTTTTCACAAACTCTGCTACGTGTCTGTATCTGTGTGTGTGTTCTCAGAGTTCTTTGTAAATTGAAAATGTGCGATGCTCTTTCCCAGATTGGCTTTCTCTCTTGGATTTCCAAACAAAGAAACGTCAATAGATGATTCGCTCGACTCTAAGAACTTTTGTTTCTTGGTCTCTCGGAGAACAGACACTTACTATCGAATATCAAGTACTGTTCGATAAATAAACTAACTCACAGAGCGATGATGTACGGCAAAAACAATGTGTGAGATCACGGTTGAACTTTTACATCACACAATTTGATTTCAAAGAATATGTGTGTGTGTGTGTGTGTGTGTGTGTATGCGCGCTCGCGAAAAACCGGAAATTCGCGCGAGTGCGGATCCTACACACGTTGACCTTGGTTGGAAAAACACGTTGAGATTACGATCGTTTTACTCGACGAAAGAGACACCGATACACGATGACGATCCACGAGCGATGGACATTAATGGCCTTTTACGGCGACGCCTGACCCGTCCGTCGTGTCCGTGGCTTGGTCCAACGTTGCTTGGTCGAGCTACATGCATTCGCGCCTGTAAAGTACGTACGTGTGTGCGAATACACGTGAAGAGAACGAGGGCATGTCTTTCGACACGATACCAACACGATACCCGCGGTATATCGGCAGGACACGTTGGTGTAAAGCGTCAGCACAGCTTTTCCTCGACGTTGTGTAGTCGATAATTGATAGACAGGAGAGAGAAACGATGTCGCTCGTCGTGTAGTCGACTTAAACGAACCTCTCTTTGTGAGCGAAGAAATTACGTTGCAATTAATATCGTTACAAGATGCGACACAATAATTTCCGGAGATTGCGGGCGTAACAAGGCGTCAAGTGGATTTTCGGAGAATCGATGACGCGTTCGGTGCACACGCCTCATTAATTAATTATTCAGCCGCGGATATACGTCGTTTGAGGACGCGCTTGTGTGTGCGATTGTAACGTTGTATAGAACTTCTCTTTGCTCTGCTGGAAATGCCTATTCATTTCGCTCGGTAACTTTACGGTCAAACTTACTTCTGTTTGTCGAAGCGAGTAAATCGAGACGGATTCTATTTATCTTGGCAAACCGCATTGTTCTCGATTCCGGTTACCTATAAATTTTACGCAATTACGTTGATGCAATTGGAGAGATGATACTGTCGGTTGTATGCAATGAAAATAAGGAGAGAATATTATTTCGTAATTTATTGCTCGTTTTTCTACATATATATATATATATATATATATATATATATATATATATAAATTATATCGAAACTCCGGGAACGCGCACGATTTCATTTCTTAAGTGTTTAGATGAGTTTTGATTTTCCCGAGTCACGTATTGACATTTCGTCAAGTTCTCGGAGAGCGGCTAATTAATACTTGAACGCTAAGTCCTCCGCGTTTATTCCCCCGAGTATCCGCGCGCAGTTTGTGGGACAACTCGTCGTTTAAGAACGATGGAAGGTACTTCCTTATTTGGCTCGTTCGAGTACGTGAGGAGAGTCTTAACTCGTGCAACTCCTCAACGCGGAACGTACTGCGAACGGGTAGAACCCCGTGAATCCCCGTGAGTGGAAGAATCGATCGTCTTTGCGTGGATACGTAACCCATCGACGTGATTATTCCAAGGATGTACGTGCATCTTTATCGCGTTGTAAAAGCGGCATTTTAAAAAGTTAAAAAAAAAAAAACTGAAGAAATTAGAACGCATGCGTTTGACGAGAGAAACAGATTTCTAACAACAACTCGTTGTGACGTAAAGCTTAGCGATAATTAAATTTTGTCCGATTAAAAGACAAGATTAGAATTTGTTTAATACGGTATGTGCTTTTGCTCATGATTTTTTTTTTTTTTTGAAGCTCTTGCACGACACACGTAATTATTAAGATGATTTTTGCTGCGCGCTTAACAATACGTTAGAAAACATTACAAGTGGGTCGACTTATATCTCAAATAATCGCAGAGTTCGCTGCGGCACGCGACCATTGGGAAAAGCTATAAGCTTCGGAAAGAGGGAAGGGAATATATCGAGGTCAGACGGCAATTTTCGTATGAGATTCAAGTATTTTATGAGCGCCGCCCATTAAACGCCCACGAGCGCGAGGTTCTCTTGAAATCTTTCGTCTTTGCATTCGATCTATATATTTCCCGGAAGTTCTCCGCAAATCCGTTCTAACAAGCACAATAATAATGGGTTTGGGTTAATGATTTTCTCTTTTATGGCTTTTCCGCGCAATGAGATGTGAGAAAAAAACTGAAACAGATATTTTTCACAAGACAGCAATATGATTTTGGGAAATAATCGCATTGTATTTTTTTTTTTTTTTTTTATAAAATTACGTTCTATACAATCACGTACAATTTGCAATTTTACGTTGGTTTAGGAAAAGAAGAAGAAAAAAACCACACAAATTGATCGATTTGCAATAACACAGGTGAACCTTTGAAATTCAGTATAGATATATTTCTAAAAAAAATGAACGT